TTAGATCGCTCAATTGTGTTGTTTACATGCACTTCGCGAAAATCTAGCTTCGCGGTGTCAAATAAGTTGCTGACTTCCACACACTTTTTTATTTCGTCATCGTAAACATGTGCGCTCATTTTAACGACTGGAGTTGGTGGTAGTTCGTTGAAATTGAATGAATAGCGACTATTATAGCAGAAATAGAAAAGATTGAATTGTCAATAAATAAATACAACAAATCTGATTCTATTATTAAGAAAAATATACATTTTCACTTTGAAAAACGTACGCAATCGGACTTTATAACGTTATTACTTGGTCGATGATGCAAGACTTTACCGTTAAGCTATTTAATTTACCGTTATTCTAGTAAAGTTAAGTCACTTAACTTAAGTGACTTAATTCCTTTATCTAGCTATAATTGAGTGGTTCACGTCGAACTTTTAACTAGTTAAGTGGATGTATATCTAGATAAGAGTTCGACATGAACCAGGCTATTTAGTATAACTTTATTCGGAAAATCTCAAAATCGAGTTGCCGTCCTCGGCGTTGTCAGTGACGTCGTATGATTTGTGTGCGATTTTTACAAATTAACCCCTAAGTAAAAAATAGTGAGCTATGTAGTACCTTGCAAATCAACCCAGAAACCCGGTAGTTTGTTGATTATTTATTGGTAGCGTCCTTTCGCTGCCAAAAATAGTTTTTTGGCAGTTGCGTCCCCGGTGACATCGTAAGGGCATGGCGAAGGCTGGTTACGATTTGGTGGCACATCGATTGAGTATTTTCATTCATCTGGCCATGTAAATCATTGGCGTATCTAGATGATGGGAGGCTGATGGGTTGGGGCGCGAAGGTGAAGTGGAAGGGGGATCGATGATCAGTTGAGGGGAGCTAATTTGCAAAAGAAGGTGATTTTTAACTACTTGACCCGGTGATTTGAAACTAGTGTCAGTATAATCTTTTAGGTAAGCATGTGGTTAACATAAGCAAGAATTTAGTCCAATGAAACTGTTTATCATCTTGATACCTTCCGACGAAAACTGACCCATCCGGCGTCACCACGGCGTCCCCACCGATCGATCTAACGTGACGTTGTTATATGGGTGTTTTATAGATTATTGAGAATGATATCACCGAAAAAATAAATAAAATGACAGTTGAATGACCAACAAAAACAACTGAAGACAATAGTTCGTCATTAGAAGTTTCCGTATTTAGTATAACTTTATTCGGAAAATTAATCTCAAAATCGAGTTGCCGTCCCCGGCGTTGTGACGTCGTACGATTTGTGTGCGAATTTTACCAATTAACTCCTAAGTAAAAAATAGTTGAGCCATGTAGTACCTTGCAAATCTACCCAGAAACCCGGTAGTTTGTTGATTGTTTATTGGTAGCGTCCTTTCGCTGCCAAAAATAGGTTTTTGGCAGTTGAGTTAAGGGGCTCTAATTCGCAAAATAAGGTGATTTTAGGTGATTTTTAACTACTGACCGTGATTTGAAACTAGTGTCAGTATAATTTTAGGTAAGCATGTGGTTAAAATAAGCAAGAATTGAGTCCAATAAAACTGTTTATCATCTTTATTGCACAAGGCAGAACAAAAAAATATTACAATAAAAGACGATAAAAGGATGGTCTATGAATGTTTTCTTTAAGATGTAAAACTTAATTCCAATGTGGCACTACATAAAACCAATTATAAACATGGAAGTGTACAACGATAAATACGGTGATAATGAGGCTAAATTGTCATAGAAGTAAAAACGCGAAAGAAGAACAACATTAATTAAAAAAAATAAATAAATAAAATAATAATAATAATAATAATAATAATAATAATAGTAGTATAACATACAAATTCAATAGTAAAAAAATTGGGGGAATCACAATATATAAAAGCAGTAAACATTTAAATAATTAAAACTTTAAAATACAAACAAAATGAGGCTAAACAATTTATGTCATAAAAGTAAAAAAGCGCGAAAGAAAAAAACAAACACTTAATAATAATAATAATAATCATAATAATAATAAAAATAATAATAATAGTAATAATAACAACAACAACAATACAACATACAAATTCAATAGTAAGAAAGATTGGGGGAACACAATATAATATACGGTATACAATATAAATCCATTGAACATTTAAATAATTAAAACCTTAAAAGACAGATAATATGAGGCTAAACAATTTATGTCATGAAAGTAAAAAACGGGAAAGAAAAATAATAATAATAACAATAACAACAACAACAACAACAGCAGCAGCAGCAGCAACAGCAACAGCAACAACAACAACGACGATTAAGACTTTAAAATAACGAAATAATTCGTCATGGATATGTAATAAAAAAAAAAAGAACCGGTGGCGGTTCAGTCTTGGCATTGATTTGCTCCTTTGCCGTTTTGGTCTATGCCTATTGCCGTTTTGGTAGTTGACATTGCCGTTTTGGTCATTGCCGTTTTGGTTTTTTGCCGTTTTGTCCAGAAACCATTATTTTCATTCGACAACGAAAATTAACGTAAACCAGAGTGCGTTAATCAGCGTTAAGTTATCCACTTGACCAAAAAAACAAAAAAAACATGGCCGATTGGTGAGTTTATAAACAACATTTGCGTTAATATAACTTAGATTAATTTTCATAAAATAAAAATTATAATACCCACATGGAGTCAAAAAATAATTGTAGGCTAACAGAATTCAAAAACTGGATGAAAATATTTTTTATTTTACGAAAAACCCATACTACCAAAAGTTGAAGCAATCTTGATTACGCAACGTATATCGCGGTAACTATACAGCCATTTTGTCGATTATAAAGTCTCCTATTCAACTGGTCGTCTTCGTTGAGTAGGATTTTACCGCTGCGCAGGTGGGCGTGGTTTAACGAAGAATAACCTATCGAATACGGCCATTACTGGAGGATTTTTGTTTGTCGCCCCCATTCAACTGCCGTTCGTACGTGGACCTTGGGTCCTGGACCTTGCCCCTCCCATTCATAAATAAGATACTGAAAGTAAGATATAATATTTATTGGTCCAAACGTATAAATATAGGTTGGAAATTTGCTTTACATTGTCGTGTACATTTTAAGTAAATAAAAATTCATATGAAACACATTAAAATATTCATCACAAAATATAGATTTAAAAATAGGTAAAATAATACAAATTTAAGCGAAGGACATAAAAACACAGCACGAAAACACAAACCAATAATATTTGTATTTTGTACATATCATTAGACTCTAAAATCGATTAAATAAGCTTTTGAAACCCCTAAATTGTCATGTTTTCGGGGCTACGTCCCCTGGACCACTTTCTAAAGGTTTTTAGAGACGCCCGACCCACGCCCACTTTTTTTCTCGTCGCGGACATCAGCCCTCGCGTCGGGAACCTTGGACCCCCTGTCGGGGAAATCCTGGCGCCGCCACTGTTTTCAAAATTTAAGTATGAACAATTTAAAAAGTTTAAACTACTAATTAATATAGTTAAAAACGGCGAACATTGCGTTGTTTAAAAATATGGCGTTTGGTACGAACGAATTTCTGTGACACGTTTGAATGATCAAATACAGAGTAAAGGATTAAAGACTAATAGCCATTAAAATTAATTAAATAAAGCCGAAGCATCAAACATATAGCAAACAAAAATGGTTCTTAATAGCAGTAATAGTCTCTGAAGTAAGTTGATTCTTGATTCTCTTTAAGCACAAATTAAACCAATTACGAGAATAGTATTATTTCATAGTAGACCTTGAAACAAATCGCAATGATGGCGATGTTCCCAAAATGCTCTATGAAAAAAAAATCATATTATGTAACATAGAGGCACAGTTTCTGAGGAAGTACTATCTTTTTTGAAATGTTTTATATAAAGCAACAAGAAAATTCTAGAGAGATCTTGGCTAATCGACGTTGATGGCAGCAAATTTTCTATAGATTCATCCTCCTCTTCCACACCATTATCATTTTTGTCATCATCACCGTCATAATAATCGTCTACATTATCATTATTGATTGTCATCATTACATAGGTTGTTACTTGTTAATTTTTTACTGGTTACTTTTAGCGCCTTTTTCAGAATTACGAAGCGCTGTAAGCGACTCTCCACGATAAGTCAACAACATCCCCCGGAGTAAAGCTTGCGTAGAACCAAACCCAAGCAAAGTCTGCTAACTTAACTAATGCAATAAAGCAGTATAGAAAAATAAGGAAACAAACACAACAAAACAAATACAATCTAAGCAAGGTGAGAGGAACTATTGAAAAATGTGAATGTTGGCAATAGGCCTACTCTACAATATTTACTTAATGTGTTATAGGTCATATGAGAATCAGTTGGGGAGCAGAGATCAATAAGGTGGTTCTAGAAAAATAATATTAGTCGACGCGGATGACAGTACATAATGTAATTTATTTCATCACCATCATAACTTAGCGATCATTGTATGTTTGGGGATTTCTGTTTCAATGGCCAAACGTGTTATTACTTATTATTAATATTATTATTATTATTTCATTTTCATTCAACATCAATGCAAGTGATCAATGTTCAATAAATATCTTGCTGTGTGTCTTGCCTAATGGTGCAGAGATATTTCAATTGCCATTTCATTTTCATAATCTCGCTTTTTATTGGCTTTTTATTATAGCATAGGTCTAATTATCTCGATCATTTTGATTCCAGGGACTGAGACACTACTGTCTTAATGGAATATACGTATTTGTGGTCAACATTTAATACATTTGGAATGAATAAATAACGTAGTGTATGATTGAAAAATGAATGTGAATGGCGCCCTCGTTCGTGATAAAGGTACATAGGAAAAAGGGTCATGATGGAGGAGATGGTTTTATACACTCAAAGAGTATTGTATTTCTTATACAATAAAGAGAATAGTACCTTTTTGCGTAAACCTGGTGGCTGTGTGTTTTGAGACGAAGGATGTAGAAGGTGCGATGCACTCTATATTATAGCACAAAGTCATACGTGAATGGATTAAATCAAATATTGATGTTTCATTCCAAAATCAATATCAGTGTGCTTGTGTCTTTCTGATTAAATATTGTATTATCATTGTCAATATGTCAGCGTATTGTACTTCAAGACCGCATTTAAGACTATTTACCACTACAACAATCACACCGGATACTAGTCTAATTTTACCACAGAATTAAATATGAATGACCTCGGATGAACTAAACTTCTCGGTGATGATTTTATTATAAACATACTAGTAGGCCTATAGGAAGAGTGGTGAGGAAATGGTGAAAAAGGAGTGTCTTACGTATTGTATGTGTAGTAAGTGATGAGGAACATCCACTAATTTACAGACTATACAAATTCTTCACAAGCTCTCGAGGGGCCGTGATCATCTTCATCATATGTAATTGTGTAGTGAGGGGACGATGGGTGTGAATGAGAAGGGTCGAGCTTTGATTGTTGAGATTCAAGTCCAGAGTCACCGGGTTCACATCCCGTAGAACTTACAGGATTTTTATCTCACGACTAAATACAGCCCCACTATATCTAATCCTTAAGACCATATAAAGTATGTTCTAGTTTCTCTCAGTGATTGACGAGCTGTGCACGTGCTGTTGGGTGAGAGAAAATGTCGACTGTATTAAATCATCTACTCTCCCCGACTTACATCGCCTCGCATTATATATCTTGTCAGAAGAAAAGTCACAGGAATTACTATTTAGGCCCGGATGTAACTCACTGCGCATATCAACTTAATACGTAACTACACATAATAACAATTAGGCCTAGATTGTCTAACGAATACACGTTCATATAATCTACATGGGCGCGACTTGGCAAGCGCCCTCGTCATCACATATCGGGGAAACATAATTTTACCGCTGAGTAGATAAGTATATATGAGCATATAATAATAATAAGCATATAATAATAATGATATTCTATATAAGACATCGTTTCTCTTTAAAATAATAATGGTTTGGAGTGTGCACGTAATTAGTGCATGTGATCCGTGACATTCATTTTGACCCTTATAGTATTTGACGCACTTCGCATAATTTTACTGACGATGTAAATTATGAATGGCCGGCTGTCTAGCATACGTCACAAGGAGTCATTGATCTGATTGGTTGGGGTTGATGTATGAACTAATCAGCAATTTTACTACGATGCGTCTTGTCGGAATCAGTAATAAACAGTACCTTTACAATTTGTTGGTAAACAGACACGTATTCTAGTAATTTTAAAATCAGCCTCGTTCTTTCCACAGACCGCTAAAAGGTCCATATTTTCTGAGAATATTTTTAAGCAAAGCACTCTGCAACAGCGATTGTAAGTGTAAAGTATCGGACTTAGGCTTACATATTTCTTTCTGGAAAATTCACCACTGTCAGTTATATTCACAATATATTGGAGACGCCACTATACTTATAAGATGTAAGTACACATAAATTATCAGTATTTGTTTTCATCAAATGATCTTGAATAGAATCGCATACTTTGTAATTGATTCTTTATAACGAGTAGGTCTATGATAATTATGAAGCACGTCGTGTTTATACTAAAGTAATATGGTTTGTTTATGGCGCGAAATACCTTATGGCGCGAAATGAGAACAACAACAAAAATGAGGTATACTTATATTATAAATTAATCATACAATTTCAGCTCAAGTAATATACAAGATATTTTTTGATGATTCTTTAACTCATTACACCACACTTAAATTTACACTGCTATTTTATAACTGAATATGATTTTGTAGACCCATACATTTATTCGACGTAACACTCATTTATTTATGTATATTTTTCTTTTATTAAGATTCGTATCCTGACGACGCGTGGATATGCTCAAGTTAAGTTCCACGCCCATGTGGGCGATATTATTAATATTGGCTTTTCTATGCTCTGTATTCATTGCTGAAGGTACGTAAAAAAAAAAGATTTTTTTAAATAACTAAATCAATTTATCGTCTGTAGCGAGGTTTGGAACAGTGAGCGTTGATGGCCATATGTTTAAATTATGCAGTGATAGGGTCTACAGATATCGGATTGATGATGCTATGACTACTTTCGGTAACGAAAAAATTCAAAATAACATTTCTGGTTAGGTAGTGATATAAAGCCTAAATTTAAAAATGAATTAAACCACGTGCATTTTCAGAAAGTAAGCATATACATAGCAGATTAAGCGTTGACAATATTATTCTATCATGATTTCAAATTTTAAAAAAATTCAAAATTAATGATCAATATAGACAGGATTGACTCCACTTCCTGAATAAAATCGAAATTGGTGGATATGAAATAAATAAGTAATTATTAGTTGTGTAATTAACTGTACTAGGAATATAAACCATAGAGCTGTTTATAGATATTTTGTTATTGATTTTTCTGCTAGTTTAATGATCAATATAGACAGGAAGACTTTTATAGGCTAGTGTGAAAATTTATTGAGGCTAACAATGCTTTTGTGGACATGCGAACTGTGTCCACGAAAGCTTGTATCTCAATAAATGTTCATCATATTAGTTTCTAAAGTTACGTCTTGGTTCATTTGATCATTATTCTACAAAATTAGTAGATAAGCTCCATCGTAATATTTTGTTATAAAATATTTTAGTTCTTAATAATTGTCTACTGTGAAAATTGGCAGACTTCCAAGGTAATCGTAATGCAAAACACTGTATCATAAAGAAACTGTGACCATGAACGAATAACAAAACTAGATTACTTATACTATAGTAAAAACATAAATTATTAACATTTTCCCGTATATTTCCCGTTTTTGTCAATATTATTTTCACTACGTCGCGATTACATCAGCCAATCCCTCATTGGCTGCGCTGATGAATAGTACTTATTAGTCGACCAATGAACTGTAAGTATGACAATGGCCATTGAGTGATTTCATGAAAGTAAACAACAGAATGCGCGCATGTACTAATACATATAAATATAAATACGATGTTAGGAAGGTTAACCAAAGTGCATTTATTGTATATAGACAGAAACAAAAAAACCCTAATAAATCAAAACTAATACTAAGCTTCAGCGTTACATGATATTTTGAAGCTATAGAAATACTGTATATTATTTATGAAGGTGGAACGTTACCAATAACAAAGATACATAATAATAATAATAATAACAATAATAATAATAATAATAATAATAATAATAATAAGCAAATAGATAATTAAA